AATCACAAACCCCAGGACATTTTATTATTTTTAATCATCTTACATGTGCCTAATGAATAATTATAGCCCATGTGCAGAACACAGTGTCAGCAAATACAACTACTGCACTGTAAGTAGACAGTTAAGATATCACATGTTCAGGTTTTGTCCTCATATTTCGTGCATTTTCTTCAATTGAACCCATCTGTTCAGGTGCAACAGGCAGTTCAAGCACTTATCGACAAACACCAGAAGATACCCGGAAACATCCTCCGAGCTCTTCTAGAGCGATTCCAAAGGGAACACAAAGAAGATTAGCACACTTGCCTTCTCTCAGACTGAACAAATAAATATGCTTCAAGCATATAATATTGTTACATCATAAAATTAGCAAAGTTACCGACTCTGTAATGGAAGTATCAGCATATGTCGCAATGTTGCATATCAAATAATGGTGCGTGTCTTTGTAACGTCTTTTTACGTGTAGTCTTGTGCATGTCGAAGAGTGTGTTTGTGAACTTTTTTTTTTTTTTGGTTTAAGTCTAAAGCTTATTTGCACACTTTGATTGTATTCAAAGGACCACTGCCAAAATAGTTTCCACAAAGCCTTTGGTTAGTTTTTTTTTTTTTAATGTCCTTATAGCATTCTGTCCTGGAAATTGATTATATTTATCTATCTGAAGGAAAATTGTGCATACTGTGATTTTTGTGATTTTGTAAGCACACTTAATAATAATGATAAGAGATACATGCTTGAATATTTGTTGTTTGATGTTGAATACTTACAGTTTTAGTCTAACATCTCTGTATTAACTCTCAGAGATGAACGGCTGTCTATTTAAGCATCAGTTGATATTGGTTTGTCCCGCTCTCAGAGCTTATTATAACATTCTGATTATAAAAAAAAAAAACATAAGTATGCAACTGCTAATAGATTTTATTCAGGCGACAAAGCATACAGGTCTTTCAGAATTCATTAAGATTTTGTAACATTCCTGAAATGTATTGATTTACTAGTTCATTACATCAAGGCTGTTCAAATCTAATAAGTAGTGTAAATAATGGCGGTAAATGTGTGATTTTATAAGAGATTTTATTATTCACAATAAAACTGAATATTCCGATGGATTCAGTGTTGGTAAAACAGTTTTAATGCACTCTTGTGCTCAGTAAACCACTCTCCCATGATCCTTTGGGAGACAATATCTTGTGTGTGACAAAGATCAAATGTCAGCATGAGCGCGGTCTTCGTCACCCTGTCCTGCAAATAAAGGTGCTTCAAAAGGTTCTTCACAGCGATGCCATAGAAGAACCATTTTTGGTTTCACAAAGAACCATTCAGTCAAAGGTTCTTTAAAGAACCAGCTCTTTCTTACCTTTTTATAACCTGAAGAACCTTCTTTCGCCACAAAGAACCTTTTGTGAAACAGAAAGGTTCTTCAGATGTTAAAGGTTCTTTATGGAACCATTTAGATTAAAAGGTTCTTCTATGGCATCGTGAAGCACCTTTATTTTTAAGAGTGTGTGTTCTCTGTGCACATCTGGTGTGTTTGGTGTATGATATGCAAATGCACCAGTGTTGCTTATACATCTGTTTGGTATTACCTTACAGCATTTGTGCATCCATTGTAAATCCCCCCCCAAACAATCACTTGGAAAAATCAAAATAAAAGTATTTTCTTGGAAGAAAATCTTTATTATTCATGATCTCTCCTTGCATTATACATGTGCTCCTAATTTTCTTTCAGCCTCTCCAGGAGTCTCTTCTAATTAAGGTGTAAAACCTTAAATCATAGGAGGTGTGAGAATACATATTCAGACAAACTAATCACCAAGCCTTGCATTTGTGATAGACTGATTCTGAACAAGCAGATTTGCTCATCACCAGTGCTTTTTTTCCAACCTTGAACTAGTTACTGACATTCTAAAAATTCAAATGGACCTTATTCACATATTAACTGCGAATCCGAAAGAAGATTGCAAGTAAGTCTAATAAAATGGCCACAGTGTACTTTATTAAATGAATTTGGTACTTTGTGTTGCATTAGAATCAAATAAAAATTTACAAAAATCCAATATGTACAAAAATGTAACGTACTTTTTGTTTTTACTCAATTTACAATAAAATCAGATAACAGATTTGATGCATTTTACGCACTTCAGACTTTCATCACACGATACAACTTACTTAAGAGACCAATAATAAAGTTTTTTTTGTTTTTTGCTTTTTTATGTCATTTATTACATCACATACACCACACTATAGTTTTATCTGTATTATGTCATATGTAACTGCCGATCTCTAGTCAATAGACACCCTTCACAACCAGGACTCGGAGAGGAATGTTCTTTTACACATGTACATTTGCATACATTTATTTACAGTTAAATAGCCTTTTGTAAGTCACTATGGAACTTCGGTTGTAACTGAAATACCAGTAAAGTCTGTACATCATTTCTGAACACTGAACTGAACGCCACCGAGTTCATTCAATTACTGTGCTTGTACTAATATCGTGCTTTATAAATAACCACCGATTATCATTTATCTAAATGTAAATTTCTTTTTTTTTTTTACCCCCATTTATGGCATTCTAGTAAGTATCTATGTCTTCATGTGAGGGAGGATCAATTTGTTTATTCAACAAAAGAAAGCTTGTCCGATGAATAATAAAAAAGTGCCACATTTCATTTCAGCTAAGTTATTCAGTGTTTGCTAACTGATTCAAAATGCTCACAATCTTATAACAGTACGGCCTGTGACCCCTGACTATCTTGGTCGTCATTTTGATTGTTTGTCTGCATATGCAATTTCATTTCAGTCTGCTTTCTTCTGCTTGCAGTATAAGCCCTGTTGAAAAAAACAGCATATGCTGGTTAGGTATGTTTTGAAGCATGGCTGCTGGTTTGAGCTGGTTTAAGCTGGTTATGAGTTGGTTTAAGCTGGTCATGTGCTGGTCCTAAGCAACTAGCTTACCAACACATGACCAGCTTAAACCAGCAGCCATGCTTCAAAACATACCTAACCAGCATATGCTGTTTTTTTTTTTTCAACGGAGCACAGTAAGTACGCTAATCAATAATGCAACGTCATCATACTAGCATGACAGCAATCATGTGCATGACTAAAACTAAACCAAAAGAAACAAACAGAAAATGTCACTTACGGATAAGGAATCCACAAAAAGGCGAGCATTGTTTAAGGCAAATAAAACAGAATCAGCTTGCATGAATTGAATGTTCTCCTGCTGTGAAAAGTTGTAAAATAAGTCCTGCTTTTGAACTCGGCTCTACTGATGTACCGGTAATAAACAGAGCAGCCTTCAACTCCTCGGCTCATCCACCGGGACTCCATCACAATAAATTCCTTCATATCAGCCACATCAACAACTAGAGCTGGAGAGTGGTCTGTTTAAAATACCGCTTTGAGGTAGGTTACAGGTATGACGTTTTTCCAGAGCGAAGAAATGGTTGACTATGATATCTCTAGGTTTATTGATAAAAACCCAGATAGAAAAATAGAACTAGAAGTGCAAAATAAAGATACATAGTTTAGCTGTAACGTTATGATTAGCTTAAATGTTAAGACGTAGGTCCTACCTATGCACATAAACTGAGTGAATAGCTTTTACTTGATACGTGTTGGGCTAAATTCCAACCCCTTGCCAGATTATTATTACAGTGAATATTAAATTTCACACTCTCTATTTCTAAATACGTTAAAGATCTTATTGTAAGCAATTCATCCACGTGTTTCATTTTTTCCCCCCCTGAAAACGACTGACTTCTCTCTTGTACCGTATGCAGGACTTCTCCAATCGTTTTGACTAATAGTATTATCATTAATCATGTGGAGAATATGCCATCAAAACAGGCTATTCAGCATCTCCAAACATCTACACAGCCTTTTGTGAAAAGGCCTTGATTCATTCTGCATGTGCTGAATGCATCACATTGTTGAGTGTTTTAAATTCAAGTCATATTTCAACATTTAAAAAAATTATTGAGGTCTTGCACCTGATAAAGAAGAATGTCACCAAAACTCAGACACAGCAAGTGTTGCCATTAGGATGCTCCTCTTAATCCGATGAACCAAAACGCAGTGTGCTTGGGGTATCACTGAAACAAAAATATCATGGTATTTATGGGAAAGCTAAAAAACGTAGGATGCTTTTGAAAACGATGGATACGTAATATCGCAGAGGTGTGCGATACATCACTCGACTTCCTTCAAAAATGGTCTTGTGTAGGTGGTGCAGCAATTTAAATCTGAAAATTGCCTAATTAGTGTGCTAACACAAGTTTTTTTTGTGCTCTGACTACAGGGGACTCTTTTAGAGGGCTGTTTGGAAAATTTTGCCAAGAGACAAAGTATCATCATCATCCATCACACAGAGAAATTAAAGTATAAGACACATTGGGGGGGGGGGAAATGCTGACGAGATAGGAAAGTAGCAAAATAGCTAAAATATACAGGTCTACGTAGATTCATACGATAATTTTTTCTGTTCTATTTTCTTTTTTTATTTGCAACACAATTTTATTTGCAAATGTGCAGATTGCTGCAGGCTAAAACAACTATGCTTTCAGTTCATTTGCCACCAATGGTAGGACGTTACAACACCTCAGGAGTGTTTCAAAGCTACAAATTACAGTTCAGATATGACCAACTGAAGCTAAACGAATCTAACCATCCTAGATCAGTCATCTCCACACTGTTAAATGGCATTAAGCAAAATAATGTGCACCTGAAAATCAACCATTTTGTAAGACACATTTAAAATCCATCAAAAACCAAAGAAGAAAAACAAAGAAAATAGAGTATTAAAAAGTTACACATAAAACATTTTTTCCCACACTTTCAAAATCGCAAACTATCCACAACAGGCACATCTAGCTTCTGTCGCAGTAAAATTTCACCTTGTCTCTCAACGTAAGTGTAAAGAAATCCTTCATTGTTCTGAGACTCCTTCCTGTGACACGTTTTGTGCTAGTTTTCTATTTCTTTTTTATTTTTCTGCCCTCACCTCCACATCTCCTTCGGATATTCGACATAAAGACACAAAGAAGCACTTGCAACTGAACGGAAAGTTTAAAACTCCAACTCTTTCATATATAAAGGATGCTTTTGGCTGATTTAAAGATACAGTGCTCTTTTAGGCAGATGTGATTTGTTGAACCATAGGGCCCGGAGCGTAATTCGGAGCACATTAGCTAGTCTGTACTCTGTCGCAGACTACTTATCCCTGACAATTTGATTTGTAGACCGTGAGTTGGCAATTGAAGAGCCTGATGGAGAAAGTCTTGATCACACTGCAGAGTTTGGAATAGTACACTTCGCCGGTTTTCCGGATGTGTTGAGAAGTGACCCCGTTTATTGTCTATTTGTGCGCCTTTAACTTATTTTACTGTACCGATACAGACACACCAAAACTTGACCCAGCCTAGAAGAACACTGTATCTTTAACCTAGAAGATGAAGCGCATCCAGGTTCTGTCGAGTACAGTTTGGCGGACACTGTGTGAACTGTGGTGGTCTTTGCCCCCCACTTTGCTGTGAACCAAACGGATCCTTGTCAGCCCACAGCGATGAGGTGAATGAGGCCGGATCGCCAAAGGGAGCTGCCAGGAAGTGTTTTCTTGGCCTATTGTCTTCTCCCGAAGACAAAAACGAGTGTGTGTTCTCCCTGTTTTGTTGTCCCAAGTGGCTTGGACTGATCGCATACTTTCTTTTCTCGTCTTTTTTCTTTGTACAGGATTCAAGTAGATGGTTGAAATGCTGCCCTGTTTATATATACAGTATGTGGTCGAGCCACAGTTCAGCGTGTTCAGTCAGTGTGAGTGGAGCGTTTGGCACTGGTACAGAACTGCTGATGAAACACTACTAATAGGTTACAGCACCCTAAACAAGGACGTCTCGAGTCTAATCAGCCATTTTTTTTTTATTTGTGTACCATCAACGTGATATTTGGACCACTGTTTCTCCAGTGCGGTGGGTAGTCGGTTGGTTTGTGTGCACTGGATGCGTGGTTTCAAAGGGAAAGGCCTTTGTTTTGCATTTGCTGCAAGAGACAAACTATGAAGTGTTCTGGATGTCCTCTTGGAGACGTCGGCTCGAGGACGATCAATTCTGGGAATGAAGGTCTGTACAACACTGAGGAGGACCGAGGGGTTTGTGGTCTATATCAGCCAGTGCAATGACTTTTAGAAACCCAGATATTCCCTGACAAAACAGAAGTAATACAAAATAAAAAGCAACGAGAGAACGGCTTAAAAAAGATTGATTATTTCATTCGTCCACAAATATGTTGTGCCTATATTTGCTTGTCCATGACAATCAACATCATGACTAGATGCTATGTATGCAAGGAACGTTATTGCCACAGTCCTGCTGTTTATTCAAGTGGAAAGTAAAGTGTTAATGTTTGTGTGTTTCCACAGCGCAGGCTACAAGGTGGTCTCATACTCCAGACGCTCTTGGACCAATGTGTCGTCTTTATATTGGAGGCGCGGCGGGGTCGGAGATGAGTCTATGGCCAGGATGGCTTTACGTAAACTCCTGTCTAGTACGTGCCTCTCCCAGGCAGGGTAGCGATTCCTGCACAAGTCTATTTTGATGACTGTCTCCTCCAGGCGCGGGGCACGGGAGGAAGGTGTGGAGGGTGCGGTGGGCCGCACCTGAAAGACGGGTATGCAACCATCCCTCTCGCTGTACTTGGCCTCGCGGTCAGCGTCCCTGGCTAGCGTACCTCCACGGTTGGAGCGCAGGGAGTTGGTGGCGCCCTCGGGGGGCAGCGTGAAGGTAGCAGTAGGGTCCTCGAGCTGGACCAGGCTGGCCGAGCGACCAAAGCGAGGCCCGTTGGGATGGAAGAAAGCGTAGTACATAAGCATGAAGACGATGCCGGTGAAGAAGCTGGAAAAGATGACGCACAGAGCGGGCACGGCGAAGGCGTCTGTGCTGGGCGGCGAGCGGTACAGGTACCACAACGCGCTCAGGGCCGTGTTCTCTAGCAGGATCATGAAGTAGTAGATGAAGAGACGGCAGCGGGTGTGTCCCTCCTTCACGTTGAACCAACTGAAGATGTAGATGATTCCCACTACCATGTCAAAGACGATCTCCTCCCACTTGGTGATACAGAATTCGGTCTCGCAGTGTACGATCCAGAAGGTCATGATACACCAGTGCAGCACGATGAAGATGCCGAAGTAGAGCTGAAACACGGAGGCGAAGAGAGCGAAGGTCACTACGCGAGCGGCGATGGTGAAGAAGTGCCAGCAGAACTGGATGATGACGGCAAGGTAGCTGATGGGCTTCTTGTCATCGCGGGAATCACGCAAGGCTTTCTGGTAGGAGGCCAGAGCCCAGGCCAGAGACACCAGAGAAGCAGCCGCTGTCATCCCTGAAATAAAAGGAGAGAAGTGTCAGTTATGGCTGGACATCATAATCCTAAGTATCCCTGTTAATCAACCCAAGAAATATGAGCACATAGAGAACTACACAAAGTATTTATGTGCAGTATGTAAAGAAAATGTGGAATTATTTAGTGATTTCTTTAATTGACACGTGCCAGCTCCTATAATTCAAGTTATGAAAAAAATATCCCTGTATGTACATTTGTGCGATCGTGAATGTTATATTAACTTTATCCAGCAGTTAAAAAAAATCATGAAGTTATTATTGAGTTACATTTTAGACACTATATATATATTTCTGTTTCACCAGCGAAAATAGTTTGAAACAATGCCAGAGTAAAACATTTGTGCTTTGTTCCTGAATGAATGTTTTGAACAAATCATTTGGGTCAATAGTTCAACAATCCATTCATAAAGACAGCCACTTGCTTCGTTTCTAAATTAATCAGCCATTTTGAACAAATTGTTTGAATGAGTGATTCAATGAATCACCCATTAATCACTTTGTTGTCATATTTATCTGTGGCAGGCCTAAACCAGCCAAGATACCAGCATAAAAACACACTAAGCAAAATATGGTTTAATCATCATTATCGAAAAAAATCACAAAAAAGTATTGAGATATAATTTTTCATCAAATTTGCACATCCCATTCTTACCATGTCTTTTTTGACAATTTTTTTTTTTTTGGGATACATTTTTACTCTTACCACAGACTTTTTTTAGGTTCTCAAACTATGAAAATCCATTATAAAAATGCATATATACTGTATATATATATATATATAATGTCGTTTCCATCACAACCAACGATTTATCAAATGTTAGTGTGTTTACCAAGGAGAAAGAAACCAAGTCATTGAACAGCTTGAACTGAAACATGAAATGTGGTGTGTAAACCAAAGAAAAATATAAATGTAGATATCACTTGTAAGCAGAATATTTTTGCAATTTTGAAAGTTCCTAAAAGAAACTGCTCTGCAGTGCATTTCATGTTAACCAGCTATAAATGTAGCTTGACATGTGAAGCACTTCTTGCCCAGATACAATAGGATGCTGGTTTCCGACGCAGAATAGGAAGTGCTCACCAAGGCATGCAAATGCATTTATCTCGTTACTACATCTTTATATATTCATGACTCTGGAGAATACAGTCGGAAGTGGGCTAATGGAGTAGCTTGACCGTGGAAGTGTCCGTCAATGGCTCGTGCTCCTGTGCGTATCACATGCAGCCCTCCTGTGATGAATGTGTTTGCGATTTCATATCTAGACCCTCTGGTGAATCACACCACACCAAGGTTTACAAGCTCCGGCCCTAATCAAAGCTGATAAACGGTGACTCCAGAGACGTGGTTCATTTTGATGAGACTTGTTTTATTTCCTCTTCAGGGAAAACAGCCTCTGTGGAATTTTGCTTAACTGCACCTTTCCACATTTATGACTCGCTGGCCCATGAGTGAGATGTTATCCATCATGTTGTCCAAAAAACTCACTTGTGCTTAATGGAGGAGGCTTTACAAGCAATCTGCATCAGATGGAGTACAGTAAAGCAGCCAGCAGTGAATACAGGTGCGTGAAGCCCATCTTTACAGCTGTGACACACTGTTCTCGTGGAGCTGGCAGCCATTGTTATGTGCACAAGCTGATGGAGTGATCAGTTTCTTGTGAGCGAGTGAGTGAGTGAGTGAGACAGAATACAAAGATTACACACACTGTCCAGTTTATCCTCAATATCAAGTTTAATGCTGATACTGAGATAAAATATGAATATAGTAACACTGTCTAGACAAGTTCAGCAGCACCAAAAAGAGGATAGTTCACCCAAAATGAAAAATTCCATCATCATTTACTCACCCATATGTTGTTCTAAACCTTTCTGAAATTCTTCTGTGGAACACAATAGATGTTTTGAACATACAAGGAAATGTTTGGACCCCATTCATGTGTTGTGTTCTGAAGAAGAAATAAAGTCATACAGATTTGGAAGGACATGAGGGTGAATTAACATTATTGAGTGAACTATCCCTGTAACATAATTCTTTTTGTGAAACATTTTACTTGAAAAATAAAATAAATGTACCTTTCAAATAAATGGAACTTGATTGGATATTCTGTTATATAATGCAAAGATATGGTTTAAATATGCAAATACGTTTTAGGGTGATTGTACTTTGCCTGTTTTACCATAATTGTGATAATACACTATACACTGTTTAAAAGTAAGATTTTTCTTTTTTTGAATTTTTACTTATATTTAGCAAGGACACATGTATAATGTTGCAACAGATTTCTATATCGAATAAATGCTGTTCATTTAAAATATTCATCAAAGAATCTTGATAATAATAAGACTGATAACAAGAGGAAATGTTTTTTTGTCACCAAATTAGCATATTAGAATGATTTCTGAAGGATCATGTGACACTGAAAATTCAGCTTTAGCATCACAGGAATAAATGTTACATTTTAAAATACATTAAAATATAGAAAGCAGTTGTTTTAAATTATAATCATATTTCACAATATTTCTGTGTTTTTAATGTATTTTTAATCAAACAAATGCAGCCTTGGTGAGCATATTTTTTCAAAAACAAAAAATACACCAAATAAAAATGTTTAATCTTGAAAATAACACGTACAAGTTTATGCAAGGAGGACCAAACATGTCAACATAAATTTAGAAAAATACTTGTATGCAGGTGAACCTAGTCTAATTTTTCAATGTTTCTTAATGTATGATGAATTAAAATGTTTAGCAGTCCTAAAATATTGTGTTGTCTTTTATCTGTAGTTCCAGACAGGCAGCATATGGATCTCTCATATATTAAACCTGAAACGTCTCTTTCTCTTGTCAGAAAAAAGACTAATAAATCTGACATTCTTACTGCACTGAACTGTTCCTGAGATAACAAGACAGACTTTGAATTCATTAGTTCCCTCATTAATTCTAAATGAAAACCAAGTGTAAATATTCTCGTCTTTACCTCTCAGTTTGACATTCATACCCAAATCATATCAAGACAATACAATACGCAGTTTTCAGAATAATGTCCTTTTTATCGCCCTTCTGTATAATGCTGTAGTGCAAGCAGAGGAGAGGTTGAGATAACAGGAAGCTTCAGTACCAGTCAGTTCCTTTCAAACGGCATCAGGATAAACGCAGAATCTCACGTTCCTAAGATAACACCATGGCCATGAATAATAGAACGAGTCCTCGTGTGAAATGATGAATGTGCAAAGATGTGTTAATTTGTGTCCAAATAAAGGTGAGTATTATTTTCATTTCACAGAGGCTGCAAGCTCACTGTTCATCAAAAGCTGTGACAGACAGATTTGCCATGTCTCTGCAATCTGTTTTCAGATGAGCTGTGCATTATGGACACTCTACACCAAACAAAGCAGACGATCAATGGTAAAGATATTCATTGATAACATTGCATAAGATAGCACATTCATAACAGAGAATGTGCACCCTGGGCATCTATTTTTATTAGTCTGAAGAGCGATTAAATGCTCAGAATCTTATCAGTGGAATTGACTGTGATGGTGACACTCCCGGAGCGACACATCCTCTGTGGAGGACTGCGAGTGTGGAGGGGTAGTCAACAGTCTTTACAACAGTAAACACACACCAATTAGCAGACTGCAGTCCAGATCTGGACCCAAGATTTTAATCCATCCAGATTGTGAATAATTTCTCATAAATAAAGATAATTATAAATATAACATTATTTCTCCTCATGGAACAGATTAGCCATGTTTACACAGCTGAATCTGAAGAAGGACAAGACAAACTATTCAGCTACAATTTCATTTATAGTGAATTACATTAAAATCTTATCTTCAAATTTGTGGCTCAAAGGCAGATTCTATCTATCGATCTATCTATCTATCTATCTATCTATCTAGTGTTTGTTTATACTGGGAGTTTTTTTTCAATAGCTTATTTACGTGTTTAACCCACTTAGATTAAATCTGGCCCATTAGTAGCTGGAGAGAGCTGAGGAGGTGTAATGACTACTTTGCAAAGTGGGGTAATTAACTGACAGAGGCCAGGCTATAATTCTTATTCTGTGGGCTATCTGGCCTGCGGCTTGGCTCCGATGCTCTCTACGACAGTGAAGGTGCATGTATTCCTCCCTCCCTCCCTCGTATCCTGCGCACGTGCAGCGCATCCAGAGGAGACGGTCGCCACAGGAACCTGCCACGGTCCAGCGTGCGAGGCTGTGAGAGCGGCAGCAGTGACGTAATGCTCCTTGCTGCTGCTGCTCATGAGGGCTGCAGTAATTTGAGAGGGGAGGAGGGCATAGACAGTGTGTGTGTGTGCGCGTGTGTTTGTAGGGTGTGTAGTAGCAGCAGGGTTATGCAAACCACAGCATCACTGCAGTATCTTCTTCATCTACTTCTACAGGCCCCTCAAATCCATTCACATTAAGGGAATAGTTTACCAAAAAAAGGAAAATTCTGTTATCATTTTTTCAATATTTGCTTACCCTCTTGTCGTTACAAACATTCCATGTTGATATTTTATCTGTTTACACAAGAAAAGGATAGTAATTAAATCTATTGTATGGCTTTAAAAAAAAATCTCAAATATAGTGTATGTTTTATGGACTAATTGCTTTTGTAGTGTTTTTTCGTCCTTTTTAGGGCATGCATCTGTATGGAAAAGAGCTGCATGAAGATTCTTCAAAAATTTTGCAAGAAAATTATTTACTTTTCACTCTAACTTATATTAAATGCAATATTTTATTTAATCTTTCTCATTGTAAATCTATTGAAATTACAGTTTCTGTTGGCACATTTAAATGTTTTAAATACCATAACATGCGGCTGGCTGATTTGACAAATGTTACAATTGTACCTGATCGCCACTAAAACAGAAATGTAGTCAAAACAGATGCCAAAAACTTGCCTGTAAAACGTGTTTTTCCACCCAAAAATGGGAGGTATACTAAAAAAAAAAAATTGGGTACAGTAATATGAT